TTAATTATATAATAACATATTATGATTATAAACTCATAATATCACATAATATTGTAAATATATCATTTATGAAAAATAAATGGTATTTAAGTCATCAAGTATAAGTCTAAACACTCTATTTCAAAAAGGTAACGTTATAAGAAGAGTGTTGTGTCATATTGTACATTACACAATATAATTTGGTACATAACATTAAATTTATGTAATACCATATATGGTCCTTTAAGTGAAAAGAGAAAACCTCAAAATGATTTGTCTTGTCATATACGTTGATGGACCTTTTTGTAAAAGGTCAAATTTGGACATGAGTAATTTCCATGTCATTAAGACTTGCCTCGATCTAAGTGCCCTTTAATGCCTTTTAATGCCTTCAACATGTATTTACCAAAAGGTTTAGCAATATCTAATGCTGTAATACATGACTAAGCCTAGCAGTATCTATTACTACCGTATATGGCTACATTGCCAAATATACATAAGGAAGTTTCGTTTCTTTATTATTTTCTTATTTATTAAATTTCATCATTTTCATCAACTAATCACTATCTTTATATATAGGTCATTAATAAACCCATGAATCCAAGCTCATAAGGATTATTCGGGATAAACTGTGAGAGTAATGGCTTGGCAGGCATGGATGGATGAATGTTGCCCGTTTTGCGAAGCGAGACATTCACGCTAGCCAAGTTTGGAGTTGGCGATGTTGCTCGACTTCACCAGAAAGGGCTGGGTGACGAAAACATGGAGGTTGGACTTGATCCCCAAAATCGTACCATTTGATGCTAAGTGAAAGCTTGGAATCTTGTTCAAAACTAACCAAAGATGTTGTTTTAGTCCTAATCAACAAGTTGCAGCTGTTTTTGATACAAGGGTGGCTGCACAAGTTCCATAGCCTTGGAAACTACTGAAAAAGATCATATTTTGTCTAGATTTATCTACCAAAATCCTATGCAAATTTTATTTTTGCCGACTGCACTCAATTATCCCCCCTAAAAATGAGTTTTGTATGGCTGGAGAGTTACCAAAAATGAACAGTCTTCAACAGATTAGCAGTACTTCACTGGAACCAGTGGTGTTTCATTGGAACCACTAGATAATTCATAATATCATTGCTAAAAAGCTGTCAACAATGCCCAAAACCACTCAAAACTCAATAGCTCATCCAAATCTACCCATTAGCCCACTGTACACCTTTGATCCATCAACCAGAAATTACAAAAATGCTACTACGCATATATATTATTTTTCCTTCATTTTTCCACACCCAACTCCAGCTTCCCCTTCACGCACCAAACCTCCATTTTTCCTTTCAAAAATCCTTCATCTTCAACCTCTCCTCATACACACCAAAAATACCCAGAAATCATCATTTTTATTACATTTTCTGCACTTTCAGCACTGTAGAATAATTTCCAGACTTGTAGAACATCATGGCTGAGAGGCAGCATGCTTCAATTTCAACTTCTAAGTAATTTTTCTTGAGCATCAGTGGATCCATTCACAAGCCCCCACAATTGTCATCCTTCCTTCTCCCGTCACTACTTTAAAGTTTATTCTTTTTGTTTTTGAAAAAACCTGAAGGAAATCATTGTGCTTTTCACCTATAACATGAGGGTTGCTCATTATAAAGTGGAAGTATTTATCAAGGATGATAGAAGGCACATTCATTGTTTTTGCTATTATGCTACAATATACTATGTATAAATGTGCTTTTTAAGTTGTAATCTTTAATCCCTACATATTTTCTATCCTTGTTGCTCCTATTGCGATGTTCACCTTCTTTTCATTATTTTTTATAGTTGTGTAATCATTATCGATTCTTAAGGCTCCGTCATCACTGCCTAGCTCTCTCTCGACATGACGGGAAAATTTACACTTTCAAACTTTGCTAGAGATTTTACTCTGACCAACATCATTGGATAGAACAAAACGGCCCATGGCATGTAACCTTTTGCATGTGAAACGAATGCTGCCAAAAGAATCCTCCTCATCATTCAAGGGTGGCATCCTAATCAGCCTCCACATCATCTCCACTACTGACTCATCAACCCTCACTAGCACACCGCAACAATATATAAACATTATACTTAAAACATCGTATACATAGTCTCTTTCATTTCAAAAAGAAAAACCTAGAATGATAAAAATACAAAAGACCGTGACAACCAAAAACGGTAGTTGGGCCTATTTAAGTTGAGTACTAGTGTCAATTGATAAATATAATTGTTAGTCAGTAATAGATAGCTAATATCTTTTATAAAATCAATTTATAAAAATATTTTTGAACACCCTAACCATTTAGAGAAAAATGTTATTAACTAAACAAACCGCATCCTCAATATGATGCGAGGGAGGACCAGACCAATGTTTTGCTCCTCCTAGCATATGAAGAATGAACCTTGAGCTATATTGCTCTTCTCCTTGGCTTGAAAGAAGAGCATGCAAACGCAAGTGTCTAATTTGAACCCATTTATGATGCCTGATGACATTATAATTGGTCGGTGTCATACTTAATGAAAAAAAAAAATAGTACAAGTATTATATAATTTGGA